GCCAGCATCTGTTGTTTCTTGACTTTTTAATAATTGCCATTCTGATTAGTGTGAGATGGTATCTCATTGTGGTTTTGATTTGCATCCTCTACTGATCAGTCATGTGGAGCTTTTTTTCATGTTTTTTTTGGGGGCACATAAATGTCTTATTTTATGTGTCTGTTCACATCATTTGCCCACTTTTGAATGGGGTTGTTTTTTTCTTGTAAATTTGTTTAAGTTGCTTGTAGACTCTGGATATTAGACCTTTGTCAGATGGCTAGGCCGCAAAAATTTTCTCCCATTATGTAGGCTGCCTGTTCACTCTGATGATAGTTTCTTTTGCTATATAGAAGCTCTTTAGTTTAATTAGATCCCACTTGCCAATTTCTGACTTTGTTGCAATTGCTTTTGATATTTTTATTATGAAATCTTTGCTTGTATCTACATCCTGAATGGTATTGTCTAGATTTTATTCTAGGGTTTTTAAAGTTTGGGATTTTATATATGTCTTTAATCCATCTTGAGTTAATTTTTGTATAAGGTATAAGGAAGGGGTCCAGTTTCAATTTTCTGTATATGGCTAGCTAGTTCTCCCAGCATGATTTATTAAATAGGGAATCCTGGCTGGACATGGTGGCTCACACGTGCAGTCCCAGCACTTTGGGAGGCTGAGGTGGGTGGATCACTTGAAGTCAGGAGTTTGAGACCAGCCTGGCCAACATGGTTAAACTCTGTCTCTACTAAAAATACAAAAATTAGCACCATGTGGTAGCACATGCCTGTAATCCCAGCTACTCAGGAGGCTGAGACAGGAGAATCACTTGACCTTGGGAGGTGAAGGTTGCCGTGAACTGAGATCATACCACTGCACTCCAGCCTAGTTGTCAGAATGAGACTCTGTCTCAAAACAAACAAATAATAAATGACAGAGCGAGACTCTGTCTCAGAATGAATGAAAGAATAGGGAGTCCTTCCCTATTACTTATTTTTGTCAGGTTTGTTAAAAAGCAAATGATTATAGATACGTGGTTTTATTTCAGAGTTCTCTATTTTATTCCATTGGTCTATGTGCCTGTTTTTGTACTAGTACCATACTGTTTCAGTTACTATAGTCTTGTAGTATAGTTTGGAGTTGGGTAATGTGATGGCTCCAGCTTTGTTCTTTTTGCTTAGGATTATCGTGGCTAGATGGGTTCTTTTTTGGCCCCATATGAACTTTAAAATAGTTTTCTCTAATTCTGTGAAGAGTTTGAATGGAAGTTTAATGAGAATAGTATTGAATCTATAAATTACTTTGGATAGTATGGCCATTTTCACAATATTCATTCTTCCTATTAATTAGCCTGGAATATTTTCCCATTTGTCTGTCTTCTCTCTTATTTCCTTGAGCAGTGGTTTGTAGTTCTCCTTGAAGAGTTCCTTCACTGCCCTTGTTAGCTGTATTTCTAGGTATTTTATTCTCTTTGTAGCAGCTGTGAATGGGGGTTCATTCATGTTTTGGCTCTCTGTTGTTTGTGTATAGGAATGCTTATGACTTTTGCACATTAATTTTATTTCCAGAGACTCTGCTGAATTTACTTACCAGATTAAGAAGCTTTTGGGCTGAAAGGATGGGATTTTTGAGATACAAGATCTTGTCGTCTGCAAACAAAGACAATTTGACTTTCTCTCTTTCTGTTTGAATACCTATTTTTTTCTCTTGTCTGATTACCTGGTCAGAACTTCCAGTGCTAAACTGAGTAGGAGTGGAGAGAGAGGGCATCCTTGTCTTGTGTTGTTTTTCAAGGAGAATGCTTCCAGCTTTTGCCCATTCAGTATGATGTTTGCTCTGGGTTTGTCATAAATAACTCTTATCATTTTGATGTATGTTCTTCAATACCTAGTTTATTGAGAGTTTTGAACATGAAGGGATGTTGAATTTTGTTGAAGGCCTTTTCTGTGTCTCTTGAGATAATCATGTGGTTTTTGTTTTTACTTCTGTTTATGTGATGAATTATTTCATTGATTTGCATATGTGGAACCAAATTTTGCTAATTTTTAACCTAAAATTCTTTCGTACTTATCTACAGAAAAAAAAAATGTCATGCTCATATCGTGGGAGTAAAGATCCTAACCAATCTGACATAATCTTTTTTTCCCCCCCGGAAGTTCTATTGTTTCTCTGAATGCATATTATTTTTCAGCTACATGTGTTCCCTTCATGTGTTTTCTTGCCATGGCTGTTTTTCTTTCTTGGTATTAATACTGTGTAAATGTTTATTAATTACTTACTGTGTGCAGGTACTATTCTAAGCTGTGTTGGAAATAAAAATGAATAAAACTTGAGTAGCACTTTTTTGGGGATTTTTCCCCCTTACATTTTCCATTTGTGAAAAACCGGTTCTTTGAAACTTAAGTAAAGCATTATCTTATCTATCAAGTCTCCCCACATGATGCCAGCACAGATTAATCCCTCCTTGCCTTCAAAGTATTTTTAATATCTGAGTTACTAAATTTATAACAACCCTCTTTTTAAAAAAATCAATGCCTGTGTCCTCTACATTCATATTGCTTAATGGCAGGAATTATGTCTTTGGTTTAAACCACTTTGTGGAGGTATGATTGTTATACAAAATGCTGTACGTATTTAATAGATAGAACTTCATGAGTTTGGACTTCAGTGCATACCCATGAGAACATTACCACAATCAGTGCTTGTAAACATAAGAGATTCTGTTTTCATCATCATTGTATTCCCTCTTTTTCTTTGCAGTGCCCAACAGTGACTTTAAAATAATTGATACTCACTAAATGAATGCTGAATTGAAAAGTTGGTTCAAAGCCAAAGTAGAAACCGAGAAGTAGTATCCAGAGAGTTAGGAGGAAAGTCAGGAGAGAGTCGTATTACCAAAGCCATGAAATGTGTTTCAATAAAGAGGGCAGTAGGTGATGTCCTAAGCTTCAAAATTGGAAGAAGCAGTGCAGACTGTAAATAGATTATTGGATTTGGTGATTAAGAGGTTGTTGGTTATCTTAACAAGAATAAGTTCCATAAAGTAGTAAGGGTTCACATTGGATAGCAGACTGAGAAGTAAATTCTTTCCCTTAAATATAATTTTTAGCTGATATTTTTATAGAAATTGGCTGCCAGACACATTGAAGATACGTAGTCTAAATAAAGATCTAGAATCCTGCATACATTATATTGATTTAGGGAGGATCCATATTTTTTGTAAAGTTAGGTAAGTAGATAGAGTAGGCTTGACATTCTTTTAAGAAAATTTAGAAACCTAATCACTACTTTCATCTCATTAGAAGACTACCACAACTCCACAGAGACCACGTCATTTATTTCATCAAAGTTAGTGATATTTTGCATGGCAAAAATTATTTTAACCTGGAAAATGTGGCTCCTTCTACTTTCTATCCTTGTTAGGATGGTAACACATTGACAATATAAAATGAATGAATTTTTAAAAGTATCTCTGAGTAATTATATAAATGATTTGATTTTTCGCACTATATTTGATTATTTGGAAGACATATTTAACATTTCTGTAATCAGAATGCCTTTTATAATAGAGCGTGTGTCATAGTGTTAACTGACAACCTTTTTTTCCTTGGTGTTTTATAAAATGATGGTGCAGTCCCAGTTGGTAACATCTGAGATTTGATAAAATACAGTAATATAGTAGGAAGCATTAAAGTTTAGAGACTGCAAAATATTTTAGTTTTAATATAATTATTGTTGTGCTACACTTTTGGGGACTATAGGTGATACTTTTTTTCTCTCTCTCTGTTTACTATGCCAATAGGTCATGCATAAAGCTTATCGTAAAATAATATGCTGTTAAGCAGAGGTGGGGGTAGGAAAGGGGAAGAATGAATTCGTAGGGAGCCTGTTTTATGTTACCCGAAATAATGATTTGGTGTGTGCAGAACAAATCTTAGTTAACTGTAATTTTCACCAATTTTGTAGAAACATTAAGGGTCAATGATCCATGCAAAAGAATAATTTCTGATCTTGCAGTCAAGGGTACATTGACTGGTCCGTTCATTTTTTTCACAGACATGTGTTGTGTGTCAGTACCGTGAAACCTAGCATTATACTCAGCATTGTAAATAATTTTTCATTGTTCTAAGCATGTTTCAACTATGATAGTCGATTCATAGTGCCTGAAACCTGTCCTTTCTTCATGTATGCTGTGCAATTGAGAGAAAATATTTGTTGTTTCTTTAATGAGGGGGTCGCCTATTGGCGAGCTGGCTGCTTGGTCACAGTAAGCACCAGTGAATGCTGTTGACTGTCAAATGGTGTCTCTTTTAAGTGTTTACCTAGGAAATGGATGAAATGACAGTTTTAAGTGATTATATAAGAAAAGATTGACATTGTAGCTAATTATTATTGAAAATAGAATATACATTGAGAATTACGATGGGAATAATGGATGTTTCTCAGTTCATTTTGGGCATTACTAAAATAAATTAAAAACTTAAAACTTTTAAGTATCTCACCATAAAAAAAGATCACTTTGATTTCAAAGGTATTTTTAGAGATACCATGATGAATCAAAAATCATAGAATATAACAAGTTAACATAAATCAGATTCAGCAAATTGGCAGTCTTCTCTTTGAAGTCAAATAATTAAGTAGAAAATATATCTATGCTTGTGTTCATTTATTTTAGTAATGTTTCAATACCTAATCCTTGAAAGAGTGAAGCAACAGTATAGTGGGGGGAAATTGCAGTCTGATGATGCATACTTTTTTTCTCTGGTAACTGAAGGTTAAATGGGTAGCAAGCAGAATGCCTTAAACAAGATTGGTATATTGATTAAAACGCTGATTTAACAGCTCGCAGTTTCCCCTTGGAAACCTGGAAAAGATAAGCCAGCTGCTGTCTAAGAGTGCTCAGAGTCCACTGAGAGTACACTATCTATCATCACAATATGGTGATGAGAGGTGTTTTATGTTTGTGTTAATTTCCCCCACTAAATCAGTAATTATTACAATCCTGTCCCTGCTGTTTACCCTGCAGCTGTTTTTCCATTTGTCGAGAGAGCGGGTGTTCTCTGAGGACCGCACACGTTTCTATGGTGCAGAAATTGTCTCTGCCTTGGACTATCTACATTCCGGAAAGATTGTTTACCGTGATCTCAAGGTAAAAAAAAAAAAAGTAATCAAAATTTGTTTTTGCAGAGACTATAGGGACAAACATAAAGTAATTACAAAGTTATACAGTTTTGAGAAAAGCAGATTTAGTTGGAAAAAAAGCACTATGTTTAAAAATTTAGTTCACTACATTTGAAAGGAAATTTCCTTCACTAGTATGTATGAAGTTGCTTTATGTCTGAGTTTTTGACTTTCAAAGAATTTCTGCTCGAATACTCTGATTAAATAAAAATGTCAAACATATGATTAAGTCAGATGACTTTACAAGTTACATTTAAAACAAGTTTTATAATGAAACAATAAGACTATTGGAAGAAACATACTCATTTTGATTTTAGCATTAACTTTTGGTGGGTTTAAATATCTGAATCATTTAATGTAATCACCATTGATTAATTTGCTTAGTTCTTTATTTATGAAAGCACTGTGTTTGTTCTGTTGGTAATAGTGTCTTGACTGCTGTAGGTTCTGTTATGATGAGAGCCTTAGGATAGCTCAGGATTGGCAAACTTTCTGTAAAGGGCTGATGAAATAATTGAGACTTTGCTGTTCATGCAGTCTCTGCTGCAGACTGCTCAACTCCATCATTGTAGGATAAAAGCAGCCTCAGATAATATGTAAATGAATAGGTTTGGCTATGTTCCAGCAAACAAAATAGGCGATGGGCTCAGTTTAGTCCACAGGTTGTAGGTTGTTGATCCCTGGAGTAAGTAACTCATGCAAGGTGTAATAGTCATTCTCATGATAATGTTAAGGAATTATGTTGGCTACATTAAAGGAATTTGTACCATGACACTTATTGAATAAAGTCTAAATATTACAATCTTGCTTTTTAAAGAAGCAAATCATGCAAATCATGTAGTAATCTTGACCTATATATAAAATTTGTGGCAGAATTGCCTTATTGATCAAATACTATTTCATGTAACATAATGATTGGTAGAAATAGAAGTTACATAAAATTTTTTATGAAATTCTGTTTTGTTTGAAATGAGGGGTGTGTGTGTGTGTGTGTGTGTGACACAAAATCACATACAAAAGTAATCATAATTATCCCCTCACTCCATTTCAAACACCTGTGATTCTTAAGTATTTAAGCAGTTGTCTAAGTCATTTCTGGATGTTCTTATATACCTTTAGATAATGATCCTAAGGAGTAACCACTCTCAAAAAATATTATTTGACACAATAACAGTGAAACATATGTGTTTGTATAATACGTTATTTATTAAAATTTAAAAGAAACTATAAGATGCTGTATTTAGGAAAAACTGAACTGTGTGCCTGTAAAACATCTAGATCAGAGATGACCACCTGTCGAAGTGCCAAAATGGGCTAGAGATCAATACAATCAATAGTTTGTATTTAGCCTGAATCTTTTTATGACTAGGAATGTGGCAGAATTCAGCATTTGTGTATCTGATATCTGCATGGCCAAATAATCCTATGCTGTCAAAATATCTTAAATATTGATTTCTTTTTAAGGGATTAGTTATGTGGCATGACAAAATATGTATTAACTTTCCAAATATGCTTTAGGTAATTAGGTCTTCTCTTCCTGAGTCCACTTCTCACATTCCCACTTCATGTTTTATGAATCCTGTTTGTAAGGAGGAAAAAAGGGGAAGGGTAGAAAAAGGGAGGCGCTTAGATTTAAGGAAATGAGAACAATTTTGAAGTAATAGGTAACATCCAGAATGCTTAAATTTAAAAGATTGAATTCTTAGCTTAAAAACTGCTAAAGAAAAGAATATTAATTTGATTGTAGTGTTGAATATGGTCTTGGTCAGTATTCTTTAATAATTTCTCATCAAATGAATGAACATATTGGTATATTGAAGCTCATTAAGTGAGTTCCACCGCCCGTTATTTCTGATGATGGAATTAGACTAAATTTGTTAAACTGCAATATAAAGTACATACTTTATATGTGAATATCAGTCAATTAGTTACCACATGCACAGTTCACTAAGTTTACTAGACAATTAAGTAGTCTCTGCTCACTGAGTTCATTTCTTAAAAAATACAGCCTTAACTTAAAGATCTAAGTATATATTTAGCATAGGACAGGAACTGTAAATGTACACCAAGAAAAATCCATGACATATAAGAAACCAAACATTCAAAACTTATGCAAATGTTATTTGTATCCATAGTAACAGGACTATATATATAATACAATGACATATTTCAGGTAGGGTCGCAGAAATTTTGAGCCGGTCCTTAATTTATAGGTGATGTCCTTGAAACCTAGAAGCCTAGTAAATGGCTTACTCAAAGCAATCATCTAAGTTGATTGCAGTCAGAATTTTTGGAACTCATGAATCCTAGCTCCTTATTGAATGTTCTTGTTACTATATCATTCTGATTCCCAGAGACGAAATGAAATTATAGGGTGGGGGGAATGCATTGGATTAACTTTGGGAACTCTTTGTAAGTCTGACCTTCAAATTAAACTGCGAAAGATAAGGGAATGAGTATTTCAAATATATTTATACCTGATGTATTTAAAAGCATCACAAACTGATTTAGGTACTTACTTTGATCAGTCTCAGATTTGTCTCTGTTCTCATTACTAATAACTCGGACTTTGTTCAAATGCAAATCCAATTGCTATGCCTACAGTAGCAGCAGTTCTCAAGTAAATCCATACCTGTTTGCCGCTGTCTCATTTAGCATTGGTGGCAAAGCCTTCTTTTATGTGCAGGTTAACTTAAAATAGTTTTATCGGTTCCTGTTTCCTAATAAATTGGTGTTTATAGCAACAGAAAAATTATTGAAACCTTTGTTGTACTTTAGAAAGTAAATTCATTTTTTGGGAATACACATTATATAATGAAGTTTTTAATTTTTATTAATGACCCAAATTCCTTGTGATTACCTAAGGAAAACTGCTTTTGCTTCATGATTGCCTAAAAATTCGAAGAAATCCCCTCAAAGACTTCTTCAGTAGTGCAAATTACATGTTAAAATCTTCTTTTCTGCTTAGTTCTTATTTTACAAATACAACCTGTATTTTCAATGACCATGCCCATCTAAGCACAGTGTAGGCTGAACAGGAACATTTGCAGAGGTGAATATAATGATACTGGAATTCATTAAGAATTAATTTCTCACTAGTTTATGTAAAAAAATAATACCTAAATTGTTGCTATATCCTGTTTGTTGGAACACCTAATTTTGTTTTCTACCTAATGTGAGAATATTTAACCATTTACATTATCAATATGAGAAGGCACCAAATAAATTTAGATACTCTCTAACACTCAGTAATGGCATGAAGGGGTTTTACCATAGTCTTTCATGTCCTCATCAGCTCCCTGATGTTCACCTCATGAACGCAGTTTGGATGATGGGGAAAACATGCTTGCTTTGCTTGCTGAGCCTCAAGACACATTCCCCAGCTCCCACTTCTAACCAGACGGTCACTCTGGATTTCCTCCTTTATAGAAATCTTAAGCCATTGCTCTTAATTCCTTCCACTTCTAACATTAAATTGTACTGATAGTGGACTATGTTGCTTATTAGTAGTAAATTTGTAAATAGCCTGGCAACCTATTTGGGGTCTCTACTATTTACATTATGAGTCCATTTCTGGATTAAGAGGTTGAAGTGAAGAAACGTTTTTCTTTCAGAATTTCAGCACACTTTCCTCATCCCATGGTCATTCAGTTTCTGCATGTCGGTTTGTGACATTTTGGCACTTGATGCCCATAAACTTAAATCTGCAACGTGCAGGGTAGGATTTCCTTACTGCCTTCTTGGGCCTGAATGAGTCTTGGTGCCTAAAACTGAGTTTGATGTATCTGGGCTAAAATGTGGTGTAAGAATGACAGGAATTATTGATTGTTATTGCTGCAGTAGTCGTCAGAACCATTAGGAACTGCTGTTTTCATTCTTTTGTTTAATCATGATGTCAGTCATTTAATTGCAATGAACCGTATATATGATGTTTTTAAACTTTCACGTATTTAGTATGGCCTACATTCAAGCATAGCTTCTCAGACTGGGTGATACGGACAGGTTACAACCATGCCTCAGCCTGCAAGGTGTTCAGAGAAGCCTCCAGGCCAGTGAATTCTGGTTTCAAGCATATTGTCCAGTGAACCTGGTATGCCTTGTAGCTTTTGATCTTTATTTTACTGTGAAGTGTAAAAGGTTGGGAAGCATTGTATTAAAGACAGCTAGGATTTTTAAAGTTTAGTTTTACTCTAGGCATCAGCAAGAGCAGGAGGAAAAGTAATTGTTGTCATAATTTTGTACCCATTAAGCACAGGAAAGACTTTAAAATCTACCATTTCTTCACAAACACACTAAATCAAGACCCTGTGTCAAATAATGCCTGTTCACTTCAACTGGGCAGAAAATGTTGCCTTTTTTTTGGAAGGAAATTCTGTGAGGTATTATGTCTAATTTTTTTTCTCTCAAAGGCATGAACTTTTGGATAACTCTCTGATAGAAATAGTAAGCCTTACTCAGATTTTTAATATACAGTCTTTTTTCTTATGACTTTGTATTTGACTTCACTACTTTTGTTAGTGGATTCATCCATTAAGCATAAGCATGCTGCCCTACTCTCCATTTTGGAAACTAAGATTGACTTTGATTATCAAACAATGCATGTAAAGTTTCATAAATTCAGAGTACCTGAGCAGTCAGTGACAATATGTGTTTTGTATTGTGTGTCTAACAAAGAGAAGAATGAAAGTGATTTAGAAGAGAAGACTAAAGAAAGATCGCTCGTAAATATTTTTCTTCCTCCTTTACACAGTAAAAAGATTTCCAGAAATGTATGACTACTGTAAATAATATAAATACTACTCAATTATGTTAGTATTAAATGAACCAAGGCAGTGATTTCCAGATGTTATTGATATATCTAGGCCATTGATATGCTTTGAAAAGAATTACAGGTGTTTCTGTGCATTCTACAGGTTCACCAATCAGCCTACTAATGGTTCTTGTATTTTACAGAAACTGTTAATGCATCCTGTGTAAAATTATCATTTATTGTTTAACAGAACTGAACATTTAATTACCTCCTGGTTTATCTTTATATAAGATTAGATTGGGGACACCATTTTTAAAGCTAATGCATCTCTTTTATACTTTTGGTAGACAAGTGTTAGTCATTCATGCTCAGCAAATGACATTTTAGGATGATGAGAGAAGACAAAATAATAGAATAATGTGGACACTACTCTAAAATAATTGACTGGAAAATTATGAGGCTGGGCACTGTAGCTCAAGCTTGTAATCCCAGCACTTTGGGAGGCAGACGTGGGCAGACTGTTTGAACCCAGGAGTTCAGGATCAGCCTGGGCAATGTGGCAAAACATCATCTCTTAAAAAAGAAGAAAAGAAAGAAACAAAAACTAGTGGGAAGTGGTAGTGGTATGCACCCGTGTACCCAGGAGACTAAGGTGGAGGGATCAATTGAGTCTGGGAAGTTGAGGCTGCAGTGAGCTATGATTGTGCCTCTGCACTCTAGCCTAGGCAACAGAGTGAGACCCTGTCTCAAAAAAAAAAATTATGAAATATTTGTGTTTTGTTTTGTTTTTTTTGACACAGGGTTTCACTGTGTCATGCAGGCTGGATTACAGTGGTGTGATCTCTGCATGCCACAACCTCCCCACACATCCTTAATCTTATTTCTTACTATATCACTGTAATTTTTTTAAAAAGCAATTTTATAAAACAAGTAGGGTAACTGTCTTGGTTTGCCCAGGACTGCCCAGTTACAGCACTTACAAGGCCTGCGTTCTGAGTAACCCCTCAGTTCCGAGCAAACTAGGAGTTGGTCACCCACAGCCTATTCCTTACCCAAACCTCTCCTTGCATCTCATTTCATTCTTCATCCCACAACCATGATGTGAGGTTCAGAGATGAGATACGAGATGACAGAATTATGTGTAAGTAGGAATTCTACACATACATACACACACAGAGCTTGGTATTAAAAAACTGTGTTTATACATTTTGATTCTTCTTTATCTAGCCGCTTCCAAAATAGCTTTGTCAAAATATGGAGAAATAGTGCATCCTGTCTGTCATGTTTCCACAAGGACTTTCCCATGCATACAAAGCGTGTGAGGAGTATTGGCATGTTACACACCAAACTAGATGGAAATGGAATGGTGTAGAAAGTACATTCACATTTTGTTCAGTATATTATTTGAAATTTTTACAGGATTTGTCAATGTATTAGTAAAAGAATATTCATTAAAGATCTTCAGCATTTTATGTATTTATAGATGAAATATTTTAAAAATAACAGGGCATATACATTTTTATTCAGTAAAACAACAGAAGCTTTAGTATATACTTAACATTTCTCGTTATGGCAAATTGGGAAGGAGGAAGAAGAGAGGTTGTTTGAAAGAGGTGGAAAAAGGAGAGAAACCAGAGGCTGCGAAGAGACAGACCAAGGTAGAGAGAGAGAAAAAACAGGAGAGATGAAGACTCTGATGTTTCTGATTGGTTTCAGTATACAAGACTTACTGGTGTTTGTGCGAATTGGGCTTGATTTCTGGGTTCTGGTTGGTAGAGAAACATTAGGAAGATGCAAGATAACTGAATTTGCATAAAATAAAAAATTTTAATTTGGTTGGGCATAGTGGCTCACGCCTGTAATCCCAGACTTTGGGAGGCTGAAGTGGGTGGATTGCTTGAATTCAGTAGGTCGAGACCAACCTGGGCAACAAAGTGAGACCTCATCACTAAAAAACTAAGAGATTAGTCAGGCATGGTGGTACTTTCCCATGGTCCTGGGCATTCAGGAGGCTGAGGTGGCTTTAACCTGGGAGGCAGAGGTTGCAGTTAGCTGTCATCACACAACTGCACTCCAGTTTGCGTAACAGAGTGAGACTCTGTCTCAAAAAAAATAATTTTTTTTAACAGGTTCAGCAGTATATTTAGGGTTCATTCAGCTTTCTGTGGAAAAAAATGGAAGCTAGATTTACTACTGTGAGATATGCTCTACATGAAATGTGTATCAAGCATTTGGTTTAGCTAAATAGCACATTGAAGTACTGTAGAAAAGGACTTTTGTCTATTCTGATCTTTGCTTCAGGGAACACAACTTGCCTAACTGTATTTAGGTCTGGTTTATAAGACATTTGACATTGTGGCAGAGAATATGATACCATATTTTATATGACTGATACTTGTTTATGTTCTTCTGTGGAGGTCTGTTTTAAATTTGATACTAACTTCAGAGTCCAAGTACATTATCTTTCAAATGTCATCACATTAAGGAGTAGAATAATCTATTCTTCGAAAGTTAACTCTCACTTATCCCGCTAATATATTTTTCACATTTTGTATGTTTTTTCTGTATGACAAAAGAAGTACCTTCAGGTTGTATCTACATGACTAGGCAAAGTTTTATGGGCCCTGACTACATAAGGCTGTATGATCACAACTCAGAACTCATCTGAGACTTTGTGGGATGACAATCATAATCTTAGGTTCAAATTAGCCGGAGGGGAGCTGGCTAGTTACATTGTTATTTCAAATTGTGCTGGCTTTGTGCAAATTCCTCCCCGCTTACATTTCATAATTTTCACCTGAGGCACATGATCCTGTTACTTGGTTAAATCTTTATGATTTTCTGTGGTGTTTTAATAGGTTCAAAGAGACTCCAACTTTATAACATTTGTGCTATATATTTTTATTAACTGTTGAATGTTTGACTTTGATATTCTTTTTCTTTTTATGTTTAAAAGGGTTGGTATTTCTTTATTACAAAGAACTGCAAAAGAGGATATCGCCTTACCTTACAAAATAAGATTTAGGTTTGATTTACAAGCACCACCAAAAAACATTTCTGTAAGTGAATATTTTATAATAGCAATAGATTCCCAAGAGAAATTGTTGAAAACCATCTGTATATATCTAGAAGAAGATACTCATCTCTTTGGGATTGTTTAAATCACATTTTCTTTTTTTTAAAAAAGAGAGGATTGTTGTTTGCTTTGAAAAGTTGATTAGGCTTTAATTTTCAGAACTTAATAATGGCTCTTAAAGCTATATCACTCATTTTCATTGGTTTAAAAACAGATTAATTTTATCATTCTGAAGTATTTGATAAAACATGTTCCTTTTTACACATGAAGCAACAGGGTTTGTAAATACTGAAAGTTCTATTAACTACAACTATGTCCTGTTTCCAAAATACTTTACTCAGCGTTCAGTAATTTTTCAAAAACGGTATTTTCCTGTTGAATAGTATACAACAAATTATGTTATTTTTTCTTAATACACAGTTGGAGAATCTAATGCTGGATAAAGATGGCCACATAAAAATTACAGATTTTGGACTTTGCAAAGAAGGGATCACAGATGCAGCCACCATGAAGACATTCTGTGGGACACCAGAATATCTGGCACCAGAGGTAGGCTTTGGTTCCATTAATAGGAAAAATAACATTGACATAATTTTTTGCAAATTAAACCATTTAAGCGTTAAAAATTAACTGTAGTACCTACTCCTTTTATCTGTATTTCAACCTGAATCAGAATTTTTTGGTTCTTGTTGCAATGGGGTATTGTAGGTTCAAGAATATACTGAAAGTAGATTTTATAAACTATAAGCACAAAGGTAGAACTAAAGTCGATTAAATTAATTTTTATTTCTTGGCCATATTTATTTTATCTTGGCTATATCCATTTTGATTCATTTATTATAATAGAATATTTGATTTCAGCAAGAATATTTATATATTTTTAAACCATCTTGGACTTTCCTTAGAAACAAACAATGATTTTTAATTTATAGTATTGCAGGTTTGTTAAAAATTATTTTATTGGGAAAGTTACTGAAATGACAGTTGCTACATTTTGGTATTTATGTCAAAGGAAGCTCAAAACTGGTAACCTCTCAGTGCTAAGTGTTCCACAATAGTTTATTAATTTGTTTATTCAACAAATATTTATTGTGTATCTGCTGTATCTCAGGTACTTTTCTGGGTGATGTGGTTACAGGAGCAAGACAGAAAAGAAGCCTACTCTGAGGGAACTTAACTTTCAGTGGAGGGAGATAGACTGACTAAATAAATAAATAAATAAATAAATGACTTAATGGTTGAAGTTCCATAAATGTAATTTTTAAAAAAGATTAAATGTAAGGGTGTGGCTTGGCTGTTGTAGATGGTGTTCCAGTTACTAATGCTGTGTAACAAACCACCCTAATTCTTAGCAGTGGAAAAAACCATTTTATATAAAATAATAGATTTTCTGAATCAGGAACGCAGATGGGGACAGTAAAGATAGCTAATTTATGCTCCACTGTGTATGAGGCCTAAGCTTGAAAGACTTTATGGTGAAAGCATGATTCTGTGGCAGGAGGCTGGAGTCATCCAGAAGCACCTTCATTCATATGTTAGACAGTTCTGCTGGCTGGCTGTTGGTACCTTATTTGGGCTGTTGGCAGGAGCGCTTATATGTAGCCCTTCTCTCTATGTGGTCTGGCCTTCCTCATAGTGACAATTTCAATGTAGTCAGACTTCTTTCATCTGAGCTCTAAAAGAAAATGTCCTAGGGAACATGTTAGAAACTGCACGGTTCCTTTGTTTCCAGCAAGTAAACCATCAAGACTACTAACTTTTAAAAACTTGATTTCACAGATTTTTTTATAATTGGAGTACAATTCATATACCATGAAACTTACTCTTTTAAAGTATACACTTTGGTGATTTTTAGTATGTTCACAGAGTTGTACAACTATCACTGCTGTCTAATTCCAGAATATTTTCATCACTCCAAAAACCCCATACCTGTTAACTCCTCATTCTTCCTTCCCCCATAGGCAACCACTGATCTACTTTTTGTCTCTATAGATTACCTATTGTAGGCATTTCATACAAATGAAGTCATACAGGATGGAGTCTTCTGTGGCTGGCTTCTTTCACTCAGCATCATGTTTTCAGTGTTGCTCCCTGTTTCAGCATGTTACTGTTACTGCATTCCTTTTTATGGCTGGATGATACTCCATTGTATGGATATACCACAGTTTGTTTATTTGTTCAGCAGCTGATGTACATTTGGGGTGTGTCCATGTTCTGGCTATTTTGAATAATGCTGCTGTGAACATTTGTTTATGCATCTCCTCTTGTGGCCTATTTTCAGAAATCACACATCATCATTTCTGTCATACCCTTACTCCCTAAAGCGCTTGTAAGCCTGCAGAGGTTTAAGTGGTAGAGACAGAGACCCCACCTTTACATTGCAGAAGAGCATGTGAGATGGGAGATACTGCCACAGCTGTCTTTGGAAAATAACATCTTTCACAGATAGGATGTTCAGGGAAAGTGGTGGTTGATGGAAAGTGATGGTACCTATTGCAAAGGTACGGGGGAAGAGCTTTCCAAAGAGAGCAGCTGGTGCCCCATTTCCCCTTAAACTCCAATACAGTTAGTGGGGCTATAGCCAAATAGGGAGGTGTTAATATTTGATGGGTGAGGGTTACTATTTAATGAGCATCTACTGTGTGCCACATGCTGTGTAGATGCATTACATCTGTTGTTTCGTTTAACATTTGGAATAGTCTTTGATGATTGATAGCAAATAGATTTTTTTTTAAGTGATGGAACATAAGATCAAAATATTTAAGTGTGATCTGTACACAACTAGGAGATAGTAGAAGTGTAATGAAGATTCTAATTAGTTTGTCTGACTATAAAGCCCACTTTTATTTTTTAAACTACATACGCTCCGGCCTCAAAACTCATAATTTGAAGACCACTTACAGATATAAATAATCATAATTTTTAAATGAATGCCTTGTAAATGTCCAACAGGAAAAGATAATCAAAAGAAATTAGAAAGTAAAATAAATCCCCGGTGATACCAACAATCCTTATACATATAGTAATCATGCTGGTCTAGTCTAATAGTTTTTTTTAACTAGGGATTAAATTTACATTTCAACAATGTTAAGTTACTGTAAATAAGCGCTACTATTTAAAATACAATAAATTTCCTACTATTATTTTTTTGCCAAAAATACCATTTTCTCTCTTTAAAATCCTATAGTTTGGAAATCTCTGTTTTTGTGGTTGAATTAGGTAAAACTTTAGCAACACTATTTCTTGCTTATTCAAATACAATATTTTCTGGAATAAAATTGTTTTTAAAAATGTAATGAAAAATTATTTGTTTCTCTGGAGTTCAGTTACCCCTGCTGTACATTTGCCATGGAAGAGGATATGTCATACTTAGAATAACAAAATTAGTTGTATCACAATTAGGGTAAATTATTCCTGAAGAAGATGGAATACATCTCATTTAAGAAGCAGATGATCTGAGAAACAAAGATATTTCCTATGCAATGTCGTCAACTGAAAAACAAATTAAGAATTTAATGCAAGAAGAGTCCACTTGTTTCTGAATGGAAAGTTTACAGTTCCCACAAAATTATCAATTTCTCTTTATAGACAAGAAAACATTTCTGCATACTTTAATATTCTAAAAGTCTGGTTTTTAAAAACAATTTATATGCCCATCCTTGGTTGATACAGGTTGATTCATAAATAAAATCTTGACACCATATTTTTATAGGGAATAGTGATTATTGTTATGATTTGACTATAAGAAATCTTGAAACAACTAACTTGTTGTGAAACTTTAACTTTTATATTTGAAATGTTGTGTCACATATTATATTTTTTAAACTTTGATTGTGTTTACCCTTACTTAAAAAATGAGAATTTAATTCCTTTATTCTGGTCTTCAGTGTGGATCATTTGACTGAAAAACACTCATTCATTCATTAAAGAACTATTTATCGAATATTTATTAAGTATCAGGCATTATGTTAAGTGCTGGGAATACAACGACGGTGGGAAATGTTTGTTTTCAAGTGACTTGCTGTTTACTAAGGTGGTAAGATATGGAAAACAAATTACTGTGCAAGAAAATAACTGCTTTACTAGTTACATAGAGTGGAGTGGAAGGAAAAGGAAAAGTGCTTAAGCCTGCAGGGAGGGCCTGGCAGTGGAAAAGGGGAAGCAGGAAGAGAGGAGGCTGGACACATACGGATTAAAACGTAACCGTGTTTTATATTTGATCTTGTGGTTAAGGGAGAATCACTTGTAAATTTAGAGCAAGGCAATGCTGTGATCAGATTTACATGGTCAGTGTTAGGGAGGGATTGGCAGGAGCTGAAGCCAGCCTCTTCCTTTTACCTCAGATGGCGTCTCTCACTTTTTTTGGACCTTGAAATTTCTCGTACGTGACCATTCTTACTGCTGGACTTTTCATAATAGTACTAGAAGTAGTAGTTGTGTATCAAATCTGTAATATATTCTTGAGTACTGTTTCTCTTGTGAATGACTCACTGTCAACATTTTCCCTTCTGTTTTTTGCAGAAGACTTGCTTGCATATGATGCAGGAATCTTGCTGCAACCTATACGTCATCTAGCAATATTGTTCCTTCACCTTTCACGTTGTTTTAATCTGGTAGAAAGATAGGTGAAGGGTATTTTGAACATACTTCACCAAGAGTGTTAGAAATCAGTTTAAAGCCATGTCCAATGTCAGATTCATGGCAGGTTTTAAAATAAGCTTAAGTGAATTTAATTTGTTTCTTGTGGCAAATTAGGAAAAGATAAAACTTATAAATATGCCATTTGTTGAAAAAAAGAGTATTTTATGGTATTTGTTCTCGTACCTCTTTTGATGAAGAATGCAGCTTACAATGCAGTTTTCCAACTTGGGAAGCATTTAACAATATTGTTAATGGAGAACAAGCTGCTTTTTGTTTTGTGTTGTATTTTTAACAGGTTATAGAGGTTCAGTCCTTGCTGGCATACACACTATGCATTTAGTGTGCCACACTATCTAAAACTGCATTTGCATGTATAGTTTTAAATGAATGTACTTTTGCTCTTTTGTACATTAGAAGGAAATAAACTTGATATATAGTAAATTATGGGCCATGGGATTTTGTTGTTATAATCTGTGCTGTATTTTCACACCTAGAAATTATAAAAGAAATTAGAAATCTCATATAAACTCTTACTGTTAAATTTTATTATTTGATTTGGCTCCTATTGAATCCAAACTATTTTATGCAGTGCTAATTATTTAGAGTCTCAGCTTTGCTCTTGAGTTAGCAGTACCTGATCAACTTTCCAACTGTAAAACAGTTTGAAAATCAAATGTAGCTTACATGCAAGACCCAACAAAATTAAAAGTGTTAAGTGCGTTTTGGCAGTTCACTTTTATTATGCCCAGTCCTCAAATGTACCAGCAGATAATCATCTGAATGTTAGTTATTTTTCACATGCTTATGTGATCACACAAAAAGTACATGCTAAAAAGAAGCAGATGGTGACAGATGGGGAAGGTTGAATAAGGTGGTTTTGGAAACCTAGAGAAATGCACTTCTGTAAT